ATTCGATGCAGCATTTCATTCTCTTTCTAATGGTTATGAGATTGTTGCAAAATAGTCAATGAGCTTTCAGAAAATAACCAAAATCTGCGACCCATGCTTTTTGAGATGGTCAAGTTTCACGATTTTTTAAAACTTTCATATCAATCCTCAGAAGGAGTTCAAGCAACGATTCGATAGAGTAAACCCTACAGAATACAGTGCTACTTTTTTCTCTCACTTATAACTCGCCCTAATTTTTTAAAAGATTTTTTAACAGAACCATCGGATTTTGGCAGGCCCACCTCAGCCATAATCACATCAAACATCATAATTTTTTGGAATTTGAGACTACCAAGATGGTACTATGAGTTAGCATTGATTTTACAAAACAAGTGAGGGCTTACGGGTTCGAAATATCAAATTTTGAGTTTTTCGGGCACAGCCTAGGGCTCGCCAAAGAAATTAGTTATAATGATTTCTCCCCGGAAACTAAACGAATCCGAAACAAAAAACACCTGTCAGAAAGAGGAGAAAATGCTGCATCGAATAGTGCCCGAACTCCTCTTCTTTTGATGTTCTACGAGGATTCAGCTGCCTAGGTATGGAAATCGGTAGCATCAGTTAAAATTCTGTTAAAAATGTGTGACAAGCTATGGAAAGGAGAAAATGTAGTAATGTATTCTATAAGGTTCACTCCATCGAATCGATACTCAAACTCCTTCTGTTGATTGATATGAAAGTTTTAGAAAATCGTGAAACTTGACCATCTCAAAAAGCATGGGTCGCAGATTTGGTTGTTTTCTGAAAGCTCATTAATTGTTTTGCAAAATTTTCATAACCATTAGAAAGAGAATAAAATTCTGCATCGAATGCCCTTAAGATCTCTTGGAAACCTTTGTTCCGTCACATGTGGTGCCCGTTTGAAAAAAGCGAAATTACTTTTGAAACGACCTTATATATTAGGTTGATTCATAATTAATGCACGTTTTTTATACTTCAATTTTGAACCAAGATAATTTTTTTTGAATGGACATTCCTGGGCGCAGTAAAAACTACTGTAACCAACAAATCAGTGGCTATACAATAGATACTTTTGCGTAACTGTATCTGTCATAAGAAAGATTTTCTGGCCTGAAGATTGCCAACAACTTTTTTCAGAAGCCTCTACTTTGAGAGAGCATAACTTACGTTGAAATGAAGTAGGATAAAGCAGACTTCGCTCATCGAGTAGCCAAGGGTCTCTTGAGCAGTGATGCCAAGCTTGGATAATACGAAAAATTCTTGAAAGAAAATACTGCGGAAAAGTCGAAAGTACTCACTTTTTTCTGGCATCTCGGCGGGTTTAAAAATCGGTCATTTTTGAAATTATTTCATTTTTTCCGCTGAAAAGTGTAAAACCCCTAGCGCCTTTTTACCACCAACTGGACTAGTCCACCCTTGTTGGATAGGTGCAAAAGACCGGCAATCGCCTTTATCTTCAAAGTTTTATATGGCACGAAAGGGCCGCGACGATCATTCAAGGTCGCAATCGAATTTCTCGGCTCAAAATTCATGGAGAATTTTGTTCAAAATAGCATCTTGTAGCACAAAGTATCCTAATCCTTATGCATATTTTTTATAATTAATTTGCCTATTCCTCATGGATTTAGAGCAAAAACAGTGAAAAGTAAAAATTTCGGAATTTAGTCTCTTTTATTTGAGATCTCAGAACTTTTGAATGAACGGAGATGTACGAAAGCGAAGACCTACGTAAGAAACTAGAAAAAACGCTCTTTTAGAGAGCTTATGAAGTTTTTGAGGGAATTCATTACACCTCAAATACCAACTCTTGGAAGAAGAGGTGCGAAAAACGTGCATTAATTATGAATCAACCTAATATTTGTGTGGTTTATATTTTAGATATTCGAAAATTTCATAAGGTTGCTCTGTATGTTCGAAGACTGAACTGATTTCGTTAGTTATCTCGTTTATGGTATCAATTGATCATGATGTTTATGGTTTCCTCTATTTGTTCTTTCTTTCAAAATTTTGAGGCTAAAGAACGGATGTGATTTAGTGTTTGTTGAAGGGTTTTTAATAAGACTCAGATTTCCATAGCCTTTGATGTTATCATTAAAACCAAATGGAAATGGAGTCATTAGTAGTTTTATCCAAAAAAGTTCCTTATTTCTGAGTACTTCTTTATCCTCATTTTCAGGTAAGTTGTCCAGAATAGATATTTTAATATCATTTTTATTACATCCTTTTTCCTCAAAATGTTTATATAGTATTTTATTTTCATTACTTTTAGCTATTCCTCTAATGTCCTTAATTCTTTCACTTAGTTTTCGAGTGGTTATTCCAACATACTGTAAACCACAAGTGCCACAAATTATACAATACACAACATTTTTAGAGCTGCAACTGCACACTGTATGTTTAAAGGTATTAATTCTGAATCCTGTAACTTGTGATATTACGTAATTAGTATAGTACGTTTTATTACATATGTTACAGGATTAATTACATTGTGAGCCCTTATTTCCATTACCAAAATTCAATAGGTTGTACCTGCCGGATATCTTACGCTTATAAGAAGTAGTACCCTGAAAATAAGAGTGGGAATAAACATTTGTTTTTGTAATGTTTTTGAGCCTGGATCTAAGGTATAGAAGGCCCCATCCCAAACCAGAGGGAAGGTTACTTAAAGTTTCGGGAGGACTGCTCCCACGGGTTGGCGCTCCTTTTAAAAGAATAGCTACCGGAGGCGTAGCACTTACCCTCCCATGCCAGTGACTACTTGTGTAAACCCCATCGGTAGTACCCGGGTAAACAAAAAACCAAAGGAAAAAGGAAAGGAAGAAAAACTAAACCCACCAACGTAAGGTACACAACCTATCCCCTTATGTTTAGTTCATTTGATTAACCATTTGGATATATTGAATACTTAGAAAGTTACCTGAGAATTTAGGGATGATGGATGTAAGGGCAAAATAATGCTGAAAAAAAATTAGTAATGTTTATGTATAGAGCATTCGAAAAATCGTGACCATGACATGATCATGTTCGACACGTACGCATCATTTCATCATTTCTAACTCTACTTGAATGTTTTTTTCTGCTCAAATATGATAGTATCCAGATATTGGAAGTAAGTGAGCTGGGTGTTGAGTTAATGCCTGTTTGTATGGGGACTTTATTCTCCTTGTGTGCAAAAGACTATAAACTCATCATCAAGATTTTCGGGATGAACATAACTTATTTTCATATAATGTTTTTCTTCGTAAGTAAACATTTTAAATTGAATTACACTCTCTTTGAGTAAGTATGCTATAAAGACAGTATACCGTTATTCTGGGTCCAGCTTATTGTTATAGGAACGTCCTTTAATGAAAGTGAAACGCTTGGCCTAAAATTCTTGTCTTAATCATTTTATTGTTTAGTTCGTCGCCTGGTGGTGCTCGTTGCTTCGTTGCATCGTTGCTTGCGGACTAGCTCCCTTTTTCAAAGTTTATTATTTTCAGATAGATAATCGAGCAACGTAAACTACAATATGAAGAATTGCTACAGAACAAGATTCTAAATGAATATATCCGAATAATCAATATTCCCATTGCGGATAGAAAGGAGTTCAATTTAATGATTGAAGATTTCTTGTCCAGGGTCGGGTAAGTATTATCTGGATATTTCATTCTTAATCAAGAACTTTTTCAGTTATGATCGAGAGGTAAACCGTGACCCACAGCCATTAGCGTGGCCGAGGCCCGCAGGCATTGGTGCGAGCACAATGGCCATATAGGTATCATTTATGTATCGTCGAATATATCATTTGGAGTTGACCTCTCTTCTTCTCTTTTCTCTTTTTCTTTATTTAATACGTATTCTCCTGCAAATCGATTGGATGAGAGCATATTTGTACTTGTTTGATGACTCATCTTATCTGGTGGATAAATTGTTGGTTTTTGCAAACTCAATTCGACATATTGCGAAATGTATGGTGTGCTAACTTAATGAAATTAGGTATGCGTGCGTCATCATACGTCTCGTAAATGGCAACGAGGATGCAATGAGATCGGCTTACTTCAGAACATAGAGCGGGTACCGGAACCAATTCCGCCATTAGGCCTCGGACATACTTCACGCGATTAAAGGCAGCGTCCAGGCAGATCTGAACCTATGGGGATTTTAGGTGGAAAGTAAATTTGGGGCCCTAACTAAGCCACTGCCCAACCGGCAGCTTCTCAGACAATCGCCGGGGGCAGGCGGGCACCGGAAAAATAGATTGCTGATCTCTCGCACCCCGCTCGCGGGTTTTTTGGAAAGCAATCAAGACTTTTCGGAAGACCGCTTGCTGAGTCAGCGGATTTTTGAGAGACCGCCTGTTGAATTTTTTTTCGCTCTTATCTTTTGCAGATATATTGCTGAATCTCTGAGGAATCGAGAACTCAGCAAGCGGTCTTCCGAACAGTCCTCGATTGCTTTCCAAAAAATCCGCGAGCGGGTGCGAGAGATCAGCAATCTATTTTTCCGGTGCCCGCCTGCCCCCGGCGATTGTCTGAGTTAGTGCTCTAACGGCTGAGATATTCCCCTCGTGGCCTCCGTCATCGTATTTCGCATAAATTGGCGCAAAGCGCGGATCCTGGCGCGAAACTGCCACGAATCCATGCAAAATACGATCGCGAGGTCCAGTTTCGAGGGGAATATCTCAGCCGTTAGGGCACTACGTGAGCTGCCGGTTGGGCATTGGCTTAGCTAGAGTCACAGAAGTACTTTCCACGTAGAATCCCCACGGGTCCAGATCTGCCTGAACGCTGCCTTTAAATATCTTAAAAGCCAATTATCATTTCTGAGAAAAGATTGTGAAGTGGGCATTTGAGCTTAAGCATGCAGCCTAAGTAACGATCCAAGTAATTTGCATAAAAAACTGAACAGTTTTTATTGAGAGACATTCAACATATTACATGGAATGGGGTAGAGGAGTACATGTCGCCGAAATGGTGCTGCCCCCGCGGTCATTTGCAACAAATACGCACCCTTGTACATGCACGGAGACGCGTTTTGCAAGAGTCCGCGCGAGACGCTCCCACATTCGGCGACATATAGTCCTCTATCCCATGGAGCATATTTGCACAGCTGATGATGAGGACTAGACAAATGACATTCTTGAAAGTAAAAGCACATCTTCACACCTGTGCCATAAAATGCGATGCCTGAGATGGACTAAGAACATAAATATTCGAGAACATAAAATTCAATATATACAACATTTCATGATGAGGTAGAACAACCTAATAATCTAACGCAGTGAACAAAGGTTCATACAAAATTGGATATCAGTGGTTTCATCTGTGACTGAAAGAACTAAGGGCAGATCATGAACTAGACTAGACTAATAATAAACTCTTCATTTACACAACCTAGGGCAATCTGTTTACAACCAGAAAGTCTTAGATTTGATGTCATCTGTTAAGGATGCTTTCGCAGTACAAAGCGGTCAATCTGTAGATTATAAAGCAGAAACATTCTAGGATATTATCTGGCAGATAAGGTTTTCATCGGAGTGCTGAACGCAAGACAGTACTTCATATATGTATTTCGCTCGTCGAGGTATCTATTGCAGTTGTAGATCACAATAACGAACCACACTTCCAGTATTAATGATAAAGCATATATGATCAGCAACGAGTAGATACGAACCATAGTTCCTGTAAAAAACAGAGCTTTAGCAAGACGTTGAAACAAGAAATAAATAAAAGACAGTATAAAATATGCAATTTAATCATCAGAATGACAAAAATAGCACCGCCAGAGTTGCAAAGGCTTGACCTATACCAGAAATAAATGACATTAACACATTGACCTCTTGACACACCATGTGTGTCAAGCAATGACTATCACGTGGGACCGCTTGACACACATGGTGTGTCAAGGCTTATACTTCGTTAAAATGACGACTATCCTAATACAAACTTTCACGTGGGACCGCTTGACACACATGGTGTGTCAAGGCTTATACTTCGTTAAAATGACGACTATCCTAATACAAACTCATCCCTGAAGTTTCCTTTTGCTGTGAATTTAGTAATGACCTCTAACTTCTTTGTCAGCCCTTCACTGCTACAGTAGATATACTGTAGATGGCAGTATGCGTGATTTTATCTAAAAAATACTGACTGGTCCGTGAAAGGTTTTGGTCCTAAGAGGCAGACAATCAAAAATTGCGTTGTCGTAAATGTGTTAAAAAGCTTTTACAGAGACGGTTTTCCGCAAAAACTTCAGCACTATCATGTAAATTGACATGTGGTACGTAACGAGCAGCAAAAATATTGTTCGTGATCAGCCAGTAAGCTCGATAATCCCAGGAAGTGCTGTTCGCTTAAAATTTAAAAAACAAAAGTTCTGCGCAAACGGACGCGAAAACAGTACGCCGATTCATCTCATCAAGTTCAAAACTCGAGAAGCAACGAACAAGGAAAATGAGAAATGAAAAACTGGCCGGTATCTAGTGCGACGGTACTGTGACTAGGATGCTCCATAAAGGGAGCAGCATTGATGAGCCTGTAGAACACAGCAGAATCAGTGGTAACAGCTATGACTCCACTTATCAATACTAACGCAAAGCATACTATTGCTAGCACCTGCAAAAACGTCGTATAATCATTTTTCTTGAATTCGAGGAAGGGCCTACCTGTATCACAATATGCGGTATAAGCAGTAATGCATAATTTCTAGATAATCCGATAAAAAGGAGAAGAACGGCTAGGAACCCGAACCCTAGACCGAGCATTTCAGCTAGAAAAGACGCAAAAACGTAATTCTCCCTCACTCCTCGTGCCTATAAAATCAATCCTCCCTTTTTGCTGGCATATGTCGTACAAAAAAACGTACGTCTTGCAACCTTCCATCGTGTTGAAAGTAGACCAGCAAAGAGTGAATCAAGAAAAATAATATCATACAAATGTGGACAATTCCAATGAGGTAGGCACCAGTTTTTACGTGAAAACAGTTGCATAGACACCGATATTCTTCAGAACTTTCGTCGAACTGGACCGCGCGTGGCACCTGAAATAATTTGATATGAGTAATCACTCTCCAAATACTACACACAGCTTCTCGTTAGATTTTCTACCTGCCCCACTGCCTACAATGAGGTTTTTTTAGTGAAAACACGATATAACAAGCACTCAGTTGAATAGTAGTTAAGCGTAGAATGCGTGAGGTAAGCCCACTTGTTTGCTTTTTCTACTGATTCTGTGAATGGATAGTTATGCCTGCGAGTTGTTAAACATATGCAAAGTTTCTTCAAAACATTTGTTCAATTATTCGCTGAAGTGTGAAGAGGTCAAAGTGCGAAAAATAACGCTGATTTCTCTGCAAATTTTTTTAGACAAGTGTGAAGTACAATCTTGAGTTTTTGGAAAAAGTTTCGAAATTATAGGCAGGAGTACCATGCACAATCCACATTATCAGGCCATTCCAAAAAAATCAGATTTGACACTGGTGGTTAACTCTAGGTATGGCTCCAGTCTGCTGACATCTTAGTGAAATGCTCCGTACGTACAAACTAGGGTGATACGACAGATTTTGTATCAGTTTCTGTGAAGATCTAACAAAAAGTGAGTACTTAAATTCATACTTACATCATGAAAAAAAAATATATTTTGCGAATCACCTCCGTTATGTGATAGTGTAACCAGATCAGATTTTTCCATATAAGCTATTACAAGAGACTCTGTCAAGAACGACTAAGGAAGGAACGAAACTCGGTGTCCGTGGCCTTGCAAGATGGGATGTATACCATTACACTCTTCTTGGAGCGCTGATCAAGAATCTGTATTTCATTTCTGCTAATCTGTCCTCTGAAAAAGATTATGAAGGATTTTTGCGCCAAATTTGGCCGTTCGAGGCAAATACGTCCGGAATGCCAATACCAGTGGTGTAATTGTGCGACAGCCTCACAAGTTGATGCAGGTGTAGGTTCAAATCTTTTTGGGCTTTTCAGTTTTGCATTGCCTTAGTTAAAGTTCTTTTTGACAGGTAGGCATTCTCGAGGTAAATGCATGCCTTTACTTTTCAAAAAGTGTGGAAAATTGGGAAAAATGACTACTTTTTGCGCTAAAAGCGTCCACTGATCACAGTGGCGAGCCGAGAAGGCCCCCCCCCCACCCCTTGAGAATAGGTCGCAAAATTTTTGGAATTTACATACATGGGTTATAAAAATGTGCAAGTGACTTGTTCATTTCCCTTAATCGCAAAATGTTTAGTCCGAAAAGTAATTTGCATCTACTGGAGAAGTTTGGTCCACGTGATCCTTATAAGCGCAAATAATAATCGTTTTACCCAATTTTCCACATTTTTTGAAGAGTAAGGGATATATAACTTGGTAATGCAAAACGGAAAACACTGGAACTTTGCATCAACTTGTGAGACTATGGGACCCGTCATACTTCGCAAAAAGCCCAAAGAAGCCCGAAAAAGCGCAAAAAAGCCCAAAAGCGCCAGAAAGAGCCGGAACACTTCTCGCACGTTTTGGCATTAAGACATGTGTGTTAATTTCGCAATCGAGTCTTTTTGTCATCTTCTGTCGTCTGCACGACAAAATAATGTCGTTCGTTTCTACGTTTCTGGCGCTTTCCTGCTTTTTCGGTTTTTTTTGAGCTTTTTCGGGCTTTTTTGGGCTTTTTCGGGCTTTTTTGAGCTTTTTTGGGCGCTTTTGGGCTTTTTTCGGCGAAGTATGACGGGTCCCTATCGCACCAACTACCACACTGCAGCCCATTGGCATTGCGAATGTATTTCCCCGGCCAAACTTTGCGCGAAAATTTTCCATAACTTCTTTCAGAGAAACGATTAGCAGAAACCGAAGCCAGATTGGGAACCAGCGTCAAGTATGATGTATAGTACAGTAGTATATGTATAGTAGTGTAGTAGTATAGGTAACGTATAGATCTCTCAAAAGGCCACCGACACCAAGTATCGTCCCTTTTAATAAGTATTTCTATGGAAAACCCCTACACCGGCGGAACTTGAACCGTGAGCCGGCTCAAAACCACCGGATCCACGCACTAAATCGCGTGCCCATGTGTCATAATTGCGCGTGATCTGCAAACGATCGGGGTATCCGCCGCAAACGGTCGCACCCCTGCTTACGACGCCCTTGTACCGACCGAAGATTTTCGATTACAAGGAGCCAAATGCCAAGTGCAAGTCATTTAGTACGTCAACTTCGTTTGAGCACGAATCCATCCACGCAATTGAACTGGCCAAACCGTAATCTAACGAGGGAGAGTTCCTTAGTCAGCTCGGCCAACCCGGATGAGTAATATATCACCGTAACGGGCTTGGAACGCTGATCTAAAATCTGCTTCCCTTCTCTGCGGAGCGATTTTGCGAGAGAAGTTATGAGCGTTTAAATGCCTAAACTTGTCATGTTTTAAGTGGCTTAAAATTGGCGGAACCTGTACAATAACACATGAAAGTGATTTATCAGTTTTGTATCAAGTATATTGATTACAAAGACGGAACACAGATAATGAAATTAATTGTTGTTTTACAGCTTTCAACTGATTTTAAGCCACTTTGAACATGAAAAATTTAGACTTTTAAACGCTCATAACTCCTCTCGGAAAGTCGCTCCGCAGAGGAGGAAAGCAGATTTGGAATCAGCGTTTCAAGCCCGTTACGGTGATATATTACTCATCGGGGTTGGCCGAGCTGACTTGGGAACTTTCCCTTGTAAGCAACGTGACTACCAGGGTGAGTTCAAAATAGAAAATATGACAATTAAAAAAAGGAAATACGATGTAAAGAACCACAGCAAACGATCTTATATTTCAAAGCTAATTAAAACATATACTTACATGCTCTGAACCGTTCTCTGCTCTGTTGTTCCGTATGAGCACTGAACGCACAGCGCGTCCGTTCATCATGGTGAGGACGCGGTTCGCAATGGTCTGCAAGATATGATGGAGATGTGTGTTCGTATGGTGATGTGATCTCCATGAATTCATAGAAGCTTGAGTTCCAAATTCGCGATATAAAAAAAAGTAGCGAAAACAACATGTTCACAGGAAACACAAAGGAAATTAAATGTACTTTGAAGTGTACGTTATCTCAAAGAAGGGATTGAGTTTAAACCATTCTATGATTCCGCACTCCCGCAGATTTCATTACTGACAAGGGAAGGCCGCTTGGTCAACGTGGCGAATCGGAAGGTGATGCATATCAATGGATAGAAAGAACCGATGATCTCAAATATACGTTTTTTATCTGCGAAGCGTTTTTCTATAGGAAGTCATAGGCTTTTTATTTACAGTGTGGCTTAGAAAGAAAATGACAACCTGTAAATAAAAATATAGTTAAAATAACACTCGAAAACGTTCAAATGATATCAAGTCAAACCTACAGCGAAATTGGGTGGTTTGTTTAAGCCTGCATATTTGTACAAAAAAAAACGTGGATTTGCAACTTGAAAGCACGAATTTAGAAAAACTCATAACATTTTTCAGAAGAATGCTTCGCAGATATAGGAGGTACATCCGAAATCAGCGGTTCAAGATCATTCCTCTGGTATTTTTATTATTTATTATTTATTCGTATTTTGTCGCTTACTCGATAATATGCGCATCACAAAAGCGGACTGAAACGAACTCAACAAGTCTGAACAGGGCATTTCATTGCGAGCAAGCTTGAAGAGGGACTAAGTGCGATAAAGTGATGTAAACTTCATCCGATAAGAAGCTCTAAGTATAAGCATCTAATGCAAAAGGATTATGGAGGTGCAGCAAATCGCTAAATGTGAATGCTTTGAGTCTTAGAACTTCTTGATAGTAGTTGTAGAGGCTAAAAACAATTATTTAATCAAAACAGTATCGAGCTCGAAAATCCCGACGTGATGAAAATCGAATCACTTCAGAATTTTACCGCTTGGCAGTATGATGTCCAAGTTCTTCTTCTAGTCTCTGACAATTTCTTGTCCTAAGGGGATTGGCTGTTCTGATAGTGAACACTGCGCAAGTTTTTAATTGAGGGTATCCACATCATTATGACAAATTACTTTCGAGAATCATCACATGAATGAAAATTTATAAGAACTGCCACCTTTGCAAATTTCGAATTTCGCACAACGATAAGTATTTCAAGTCATTCTTTCCCATGTGCAGCAAGTGCATATCTCGTTAAAGACACAAGTGAGCAAATTTAGTGATCTCACAATTTTTCTTCTTTCTTCTTCAGTCTCAAAAAACAGATGACTATAGAAATATATGCTTACAAAAATGATGACCGTATGTATGTACAAAAAAATACGGATTACTACATATTGAAAAGGTCAGTTAGAACGGCTAGATTCCACGGACGAAGGTCATTCCACCGAAGATGAAGGAGATATCATAGCAAAGAGCAAAAAGCAAAATATAACAAGCGCTTCAGGACCATTATGCAAGTATTCGAAGCTGAGTAGCCAGGTGAGGCAAGGGAACTATCGCAGAAAAATTTTACGAGTGATTCGTCTTCAGTGGATCTCAAGTTAGAAAGGACAGACAAACCATTTTATACAGTCGTCTTAAATCCAGCAAACGCTTTGTTTCACACCACTTTTGCAATCTGCCGTAGCAGTCAGGTGGTGGTGCACTTATCATGAATGAGAAAAGGCATAAAGCTATAAATAACTACTAATATGACCTCACGACATAGAGAATAAAAGGATCATGTCTTTGAATCCGTTGTTTCCCGCACATATCCAAGAATTAGTGCAACTACACGAGCCGTCAGTAGAAGTGATGGGTTACTGTAGATGCGAAGGACAGGAACGCGAACATCGCGGTTTAAAATGAGAACTCAGACGTATTGGATAAAAAAGGAGTAATAGGAATCCTCTCACAAGCCAAATTCTTGCGTAGGGACATGTAGATAAAGATAAGGATGTGTAGATAAACTGAGTAGTTAGACAATAGGACAAGAAATCAGCGCATTGTTTTTGTGTGCAATTGCGCACTATGCATAAAAGAGGCACGAAAATATTCAAACAAACGGTGAGCCGAGCTTTTACCTAACTCTGACAAAAGGCTGATTGCAGCCTTGGATAAAGCAAGTAGACGAGATGAATTCACACTATGAGAGCCCCATCTGCAAGTAATTGTTGCATTCCATAAGACGGCAATGGCCAAAAATAGGCAAGCGAATGCGAATGTATGTAGACATAGAAGCAGCGAACACATGCACAACAAGCACATTTGCGTCACAGGCGAATATCGATCGTTTCGTTTCGCAGCGAGCGGAGCGCGAAATCAGCAGGTCAGACGCAGAAGTAGCGCACGACGACGACGACAACGCTAATCAAATAGATGTCGCGTGGAATGCGAGCGTCGCGAGTGACATGCGCTGCTCCTGCGACTGACTGGACCGCCAGAGCGAGTCCACGGAGTCGTTTGGCTGGATTTTGCGCTAACGAGAATGGGTCTAATATATTCTCGACGTGAATCTCAACCAGTAAGCGGAACCCGAAAGCGCGCGAAGACGCCAGCGATTTCCCTGAGGATTCTGCTCCAGTGGCAGGCGGCGACTCGCTAGCTCTAGGTTTCTGGTCGCTATGTTTTTCTCTTTGTTTTGCATGGCCAAAAGAAAGGCGATGAGTTTCGTAACGGCGTGGGGCTATAAAGGGAATTCCCTTGCTTATTTACGGGAAAGACGCTTAGCATGTTTTTCTTTTCAGTACTTCTAAATGAGAGAAAGGGGTCCTATTCATTGCGCATTCAGAAGTCTAGTAGAAAGGAAGCAGATTTCCTACAAGTGATGAAAATCGCAGTTTTGAGGTAGTTTCCCGAAAGCCTAAACAATGTAAATATCGTTTTGATTTCAGCATGTACCTAGTCCAACGTGGGATTGACAAATAATCCAAATCAAGTAAATATAGGTTTCGGTGAATAAGAACATTCTTTGAATATACACCCCACAAAGAATCCTATGAATAGAGTTTGCAAATCATAGATTAATTCCAATCATGCATCTTGGGTAATCAAGCATCGAGTGGAAAACTAAATTCTAAGAGGAGTTTATTTTATTTACATATACTTGATATGAATCGTTTGCAGCTGATATGGGGTATGCAGGTGGAAATTAATCTCTTATAGGTATAACTCCTCCACTATTTGATGAAAGTGGTTTTAACCGTGTAAACATGAACCAGCCTAGGACTTTTTTTATTAGGCCCAGTAGATCTAATGTGTGAGGCTGGATATGCTTTTTGTATACATTTTGTTCCAAGTCTGAGCTCAATTGCTGCTAGAAAGTGAAGAGTAAATAATTTTCTAGCATTGCAAACGTCTGCGTATAGAAAACCGTATAGAAAAGATTGTTTTTGGGTAGATACATAATATCAATTAGCATTGAGTATTACGCTTGTCTGAGCAGATGTTCTGACTAGGTATATCAACATCTAAGAAAATATATAGGCAGATATACTACAGTAAGGCTGCTTATCGGTTTTAGCAGTGAAAGAAAGAAGAGAGGAAATTTTTGGGTTGTCACTTGAAGAAATTAGAGAAACACTATTACATACCGCCAAACCTATCTAGATTTCAGATGAAGAAAATTCCATGGAATCTCAGATAAAGGGAGTATAATAAAATCGAAAATTATCACCTGTTATCATAGTATTTACCGAGATCTAAGGAAAATAATGATTGAGGTGCTACTGCATGTATAATAGTTTCAAAGATTATTGACCTATGATCTTCTTTATTCAAGCTTTTTACTATATGAGGTATCCATAGAGCTTTTAACGATACGTGCTCATAGACTGAAAAAGTATCTAGACCTTTGAATTTCAGGGTGCGTTTAAATGCCGGTCTGGCATTAACCGGTGATAAACCGCTTCTTACGACATAGGCCGACAAAAAAATGATACATAATGAAAAAGTAAGAGTTCCGAGCTTTTTATTAGAAGCAAGTGTACCCGGAATTATCAGAGATTTCGGTTAGCTAAGTGAGCAACGTTCAAAGGCACTAATTACGAGATTGTTAGCATATTAGGTGCGAACGTAAGCCGGAGGAAATCGATTTTGAACAGCAATTAGCGACGAGAGTCCAGAGAAGCTATGTTACTAAACTTATGATATTTGAGGCTGAAAGCCATGGACTTTTTTGAGTAAAAAAAACAAAGCAAAGAACCAACTGGGGCTTAAGGCATTAGCTAAGCAGTGCAGAGCTCAACGAGTGTGTCTGGAGCTTCTTCTGGTGGGTCGTAACATAAACAAAAATATTCTACAGTTGAAAGAAAAAATCTTCATATCTTCAAAAGATTTCCTCCCATTTTCTTACGTGGAACATTGTAGCCTTAAATATATCCGGAGCCATGAAAATCCAAATTCATAATTCTTTCTTCTAAGATTCTTTAAAAAAAATTTTTTCGAATAACTACCGGCAGATTTTCAGGTTAGGCTATTGAGAAGCTTAAACTTCCAAACTGCTTCAAATTCCTTTGCGACTCCATGAATGAGACTGGGAGAGTACCCAGAAAATTACGAAGAAATGGAGGTTGACAGTCACAAAATCGCGCTTTAATTTACTGTAACTCATGTATGTGAAGATGAAAATGATGCCAAATAAAAAACTCTTCGTTAGTTCGTTATATAGAGCAAAGACTTTGCGAAATTCTAGAACTTCAAGAGAAGGACGGATGAAACCTAACAAAACTATGCGTACTATATAGATACAGCATATTGAATTACAAATTTACAAAACTTCCGTAATCAAAAACGTAGCATTCCATGAAAAGATCAAACAGTGACCAATTAAAATCAGAGGAACAAAATTTGAATGATACATTCAATATAAGTGATAACAGGGGATAAACGAAGACAGGTTCGTTACTCTACAACAAGGAGGAATGCTCGCGAGAGGATGATAATCAAAATACTAGGTCGTCTCGAAAGTTCCTTCGTATCATTTTAAAAAAATTT